TGTGTGTGTGTGTGTGTGTGTGTGTGTGTGTGTGTGTGTGTGTGTGTGTGTGTGTGTGTGTATTCAGGCTTTTTTCCTCTTTTTTGATTATTTTTTCATCTCAAGCTGAAATGACAAAGACAGCCTTAGATGACTCAAATGAAAAGGGTAGATTATTAAAAGAACTTATTCTTGACTTGAGTAATTTGCATGTTCGCGATCTAAATAGACACACCTTTTTCTCAGGAGGCAGCGGACGTCAAACTGGAGTAAATAGGCAAGGCAAGGCAAGGCAAGTTTATTTGTATAGCACAATTCAACAACAAGGTGATTCAAAGTGCTTTACAGAGACAAATATCACAATTAACATCTTCTTTTAATTAAATGTTGATTTTTTTCTACTTCCTGCTTACTAGGATGTTGCATTTTTACATTATGGATGAAATATCTGAGTTGAAAAGTGTTTTGTTTTTGTTTTTCTCTCTCTTTCATTGCAGCCGCATATTCCAGCAGTAGAAACGGAGAGATCAAAGCGTTGAAGGCTGCAAACACATAATGAACAAAAGTACAAATGTTGTCTGGCTGAGACTGTGTGACAAGAACACTGATTTCTATTCTTAAAAAACAACAACAACACAAGCCATGATTATGATGTGTATGATACGTGTTGGTTTTTTTTTTTTTTAATAAAAAATGATTCAGGTGTAAAACCAAACTCCAAGGGCATCATTAAAAGATGCTTCCACACAAATGTATTTTAATATATGCACCCCTCAGATGAATGTTAACCATGCTGCATAAATTCCCTCCTTCTTGGTGAGCTAATGAATGAATGGACTGCTTGTGAATGTCCCACTGTGGGTATTGTGAGACAACAATCAGATGGTTCTGTTCAGAGCGACCAACACCAAACACGCAGACAGATCAAAGCTATGCTCCTGGTTCAGTTCAGTAACCTCAGTGATGCTCTGTCTCTATAGATCAGTCAGGGAGATGTGCAACAGATGGAAGGTGGTGTCTCCCACAAACAAACATTCTTATATAGCAAATAGCTTATAGTAATGTCTTGGTAACTGCAAAATGTTCCATACATTTACCAACATTTTAAACTAACAGGAGGTTTATGTGGGAGTTCATAGCAGAAGAGGTGTTTCTGCATAAGGCCTAACACCCAAGTCCCCTGTGTTTAATAACACTTACATGCATAACATGCATAATCTAAATATAGCATAAAAATACTCTCAGAAATAGTGTGTTTTTCTAACAAAAAAAAAAATAAAAAAATAAAATCAGCTTTCAGAGACCTAACATGGTTCCTATTGCCATTGCTGTACTGCCTCCCAGTGGTTAAACAATGTTATGAACACTTGTTGAGGCTTTAAGTTTACATTACAGTTTTTTTCTGAGTGCTTAAACCCTAACTGTGATTCTTATAGCACAATTTCTAAAACTATTAATACTAAAACCACTCACTGAGTTTGCAAAACTAAAAGCACAAACACTGCTTTGCACTCAGTTTGCCATTTTGTAACACACACTTTGCAAAACTGTAGGTACAATCCACTGCACAGCACTCTTTTTGCAGAACTATAAACACAACTCACTGCTTTACACTCAATTTCCAAATGATCAACACACTCCTAGCAAAACTATACACATTTATGGCTATTATTTACACTACTTTGCCAACTGTCTGGCACACTGTCACATGTGAAAACTGTTTTAGATAATTAGTTCACTTTGCAATCAGCACTATAAATAAGCTACAGGTAAGCTGTCTGTGTGGAGTACAATGGAGGGAGCAGGAAGAGTGAGAAGAGTGAGAAGTAGAGGAGGCCGAGGAAGAGGATGTGGAGGTGAAGAAGTAGGACGAAGAGGACGACAAGGACAAGGAGGTGAAGTTAGAGGAAGAGGACAAGGAGGAGCAAGAGGAGGATGAGGAGGGGGGAGAGGAAGGGTAAGAAGAGTAAGAAATAGAATTGCTGATCACATCAGAGCTACAATAGTGGACCATGTAATCAACCATGGAACGACCCTGAGGGAAGCTGGCCAACGGGTTCAGCCTAACTTGAGCCGCTACACTGTAGCAAGCACCATAAGGACATTTCAAAATGAGAATCGGTTAGTACAGTCACTTTGCACTAAGATTTGTAGCACTGCCATATGCCAATGAGAAACACAACAATACCATAGATGTAAAAACACTGAAATTGTTCCTTTACAGAATTGCTAGACGATCAGATGCTGGGTGCAAAACATACAAAATGTGAGCATTTCTGTATTGGGTCGTGTACTTGCCCGCAACAAAATCCGAATGAAACAAATCTACAGAGTACCTTTTGACGAGGAGACGTGGCAGGAACATTAACTATGTGTGCAGCTATAAGTCAAAATGGTGTTGTTCACCATCATGCAACCCTGGGCCCATATAACACTGCACACATTATTACATTCCTGGACGCCTTACATGACATGCTCACTAATGTTCAGAGACCAGAGCAGACCAGATACATCATCATATGGGACAATGTTAGTTTCCATAGGGCTGCTTTGGTCCGCAACTGGTTTACAGATCACCCACCCTTCACTGTACTCAACCTCCCCCCATACTCTCCATTCTTGAATCCAACTGAAGAGTTCTTCTCTGCCTGGCGCTGAAAGGTCTATGACCGTCATCCCCATCAACGCATAGCCCTTTTACAGGCAATGGAGGAGGCATGTTAGGATATTGACTAGGCATCATGTCAGGCCTGGATACACCATTCCAGAAGATAATTTCCCCGGTGCCTTGGACTAGAGGACATTGCATGTGATGTAGATGAAATTTTGTGGCCGGACCCAGAGAGACGACACGATGTAGACTGATTTCTTTTTTTTCCTCAGTGAAATTACTATTTTGTTTTGACTTGGAAATAAACACTTGTGTTTGTTTTGATGTGTGTGACTAAACACCAGTACTTGAGGTTTGGATCCCTCTGTGTTTACGGACCTATGACAAAAGTATGACCTCAAACTGACATGGCCTACCTTGTGCACAGAAAAGCAAAAGCCAGATGTGGTTTTTATTCATACCATCAGTGTGTAGTTGGTGCATTGTGTGCTTAATGTGATGGCTTGTGTTAACTGTTTGACATAAAAAATACAATTTTTACGAAGGTTTGGAGAGTTATGCAAGGTTTATTAGCTTTTGCAAGACAACTACAATGTTTTGCTGATTTGGTGAAGGGTTTTCTTAGTTGTGTGTAAAGTTTTGCAAAAACAGCCAATAGTTACAAAAAATGTGCATAAGCCATCAGAAAAAACTGTAATGTACTTTGCTTTAGAGAGCAGCGGTTCTTATGAGTAGGGCGCTTTTGGTCAAAAGAGTCAAAAAAATATGTTATACAAAAACAAATAGGTGGAAATCTTTAAATCTTCCACCATAGTCTGCAGGAACTGTTGATTTCTGATTATTTTCATTACCACTAGAACAAACGATTTGTTAAGTGGAACAAGAAAATACCTTTTAGCATGTTTAAGGCAACATCTAAACAGAGGAGCTATAAAACTGTGCAGCTACTTTTAGTTCTGCCTTTGTTCATATGTATTTCCCTTAATAGTAAATGAACACAGTAAAAGTAAAGTCAGTGGCTTAAATTTAATGTTGAAGTCCAGCTGCAAATCAAGCACATCGGTGAACTGAAACAGCTCTGTCACACTAGAATGAAAATAGAACAACAACCTTGCGGTGGTATAGTGATTGATTTTTGTGCTGTAAGAAACCAATTGCATGCAGATGCAGCAACCAACTTATCAAGATCGAGCATGCAACACCCTCACACTCTGAGCAACTATTTTACATTGCAAAGGTTTCATTGTGGGAGGCAACCTGTTTTCTCAGTCACAGTCTGACTCACACTGACTGCAAGTAATTGCCATCTAATTTATAAATGCAGATAGGCCGATGACAGTCTGTGCTGTTTTTACTCAACTGGTTGTAATCTGGTTATATTCTTATATAAAAGCAATGTCATTTTGCAATTAAATTGCTGTCCTGCCACAACTATGTCACTACATGTGCAACAATTTTATCACAGTAAATCTCCATATTATCGCAAACTGCTTGCATGTAATTGCCAACTTGACAACTGTTAGAAGACTGATTCCATCTTATTGCCATTTTATCAGCATCTTGATGCACCAAAAATGACAACTGAGTGTGAGTGGTTGCAGACTTTGTCCCCATCTTTGAAAAGACCATATAAAGTAAAATAAGGGTTGGTATAATTGCAATAGAAGATTCTTGTTTATTTTTTGTAACAACATTTCTTCAGCTTATTTTAACTTGATGTTTTCCCATGATTGGGACCTACAAGTGCTCTGCAGCATACAGATTAAGAACCACTTGTTTTAAGAATGGTGCTTTTTTTCTTGTGCTTTTTTGTGCAGATTTAGAAGTTTTAAACATGAGTGAGGCATCTATTGAAGTTAGTTTTCTTACGCTCATCCTTTTCAGGGTCATGGGGGGCTGGGGGGCAACCAGAAAGACAGTCATTCACACTCACATTCACACCTATGGGCAATTTAGAGTTACCGATTAACCCAACCCCAATAACTGCATGTTTTGGACTGTGGGAAAATGCCAGTGTGAACCCACACAGGTGGTGGATTCACATCCAGAACCTTCATGCTGGGAGGTGACGAAATTTTGTGCTATTTTATCATATTAGCCCCCTGATTTCAATTTTTTTATTTGCATACTACAATAAAAAAATAAAATTCTGAAAGTTGCATTAAAAATAGTTTAAAAGGCCAGTCCACCCAGATTTCAGGTGAACCTTTTTGCAAAGACAATCTTTTATTGAGGCACTTGACACAAGCCATGGAATGTACATATCAAATACAACAAATTTAAGGTCTTTTTCACATTCTTGCATCTGTAAACATGATAAAGATAATACATTCAGACAGTAAGTCCATGTTGTCCCTCATACAGGAGAGACTTGTGAGTGAGGGGAAAAATATCAACACCTCACTCAGAGTAGTGTACAGTACACAACAGCTACACAAAGTGTACAAAACAGCAGTGGAGTCAAATACAAAAACTACTGACCGACTCCCTTTAAAGTAACCCTTCATGCATGAAGAGCGTACGTCTCACAGGAGTAGATCAGCAAAAATAGTAGCATGTAGACAAGCTGCTCATGTGCTCTCATTTGACCTGAAACGCATCTATTTGGTCATTTCACATGTGCGTAAGAGGTAAGTAAACTAGGGTTCAGGCATCTAAGTCTATTTCGCATCACAAGAACACATCTCGACTTTAATAGATATATAGGTACATTATCAGTTAGCAGGCATGTGTGGAAGCAGAGTCTACAGATGTCTGCTTTGGATTATCACACTCTAGGATGTAAACATGTACTTCTTGAGAACTACCGGTGGTACTTATGGTCCTTGGCAATCACAAAAATACTTCAGTTTATCTCTTTTTATTCGTGCTGTTTTGTTTTCCCGTCCACTTGGCTCTAAGGAAGTATGTGTAGATGCCTGCTTAGTAAAAACTTCCAACAACAAACCAAACATAGCAAAATATCTCCAGTGTGTGGAGGCGGATAAGGCTGCTGTTGGGCTACAGTTCATCAGCAGGTACAGAATGAGGCTTGGGTATGAAAGCTACGGCTCATGTTTTGAAAGCGCTCACCCTGTTCTCCATGTGGAGCAGCCTCTGCCAAAACTACACCTCTATCCTAAATACAGGGCTCAGCTGGTGCTCACATTAGTAAGGGTTGGTGAATATAAGGCTGTAGTTAAAGGAATACTCCAGCAAAATCTAGATTTTAAGTGTTAAGACATTTTCTGCCTGTTGGCTTGGACTCGTATTTTGTATCCACAGTGTTTTCTATGCAAATATATAACAAATACTAAGGATTTCCTTTTACTTTTTTATAGGTTTCGTTATTTTCCAGAATGTGTAATGGCTCAGTCGTACTTGAGTATAAAATAGGATGACAACATCCTTGCTGCTAAAAAAAATCTGTGATTGCACAATGATTTTTTTTTTCACATTTAGTAACCGATTGCACCTGGTTACCCAGAGGCTGAGTGTGTAACACTTTCAGCCTGTGGGAGGCTACTGGGAATTGCAAGACAGCTGCACAGGTCACCTGATGGGAGGCAACCTGTCTCCAAACAATCACGGCCCAACTCGGACTGATTGCAATCACTCTCAGACAGATTTCTAACACACTGCAGTCAATCCGAGTACGTCTGAGTCAATGAGCACAAGTTCTCTGTGGACTTGAACAAACTCATTGCCAGATCTATTCTGGTCATTTCCTCCTGAGACTCAACTCATTTATTTATGTCCTCTGTAGTGAACACGCAAATCACAAAACATATTAAACTGAAAGATTTCATTCTCAGGACAATATTTCTATACAAAAAGGAAGGTTGCCAAGCAACAGTGTTATTTTGCAGTTAAATAACCGCCCTGCTGCAAATACGGGACTTTTTGTTGAAGAATTTCGGTTTCAAATCTATGAGGTTCTGGGTGGAGTCAGAATGTATGTAGTAAATGTGAATTTCTGATTAATGCGAGTTTCTGTTTATGCAGATGGCAACAAATTTGCAACAGAGGGCAACAGTTACAATTTTTGCCAATTTATCAGAGTTAATTACCATATCATCACAAACAGCTTTTTTGCTGTCATTAAACTTATTCAGTCACAGATAGCAGATAGACAACAGTCTGACCCATCATGTTGCTGTTTAATCATTGACTTGATGTACCAAAGTTGGTTTGAAGGTGAAACCTGACCGTAAGATATGGTCTCGGTCTTTGAAGCAACCATTTCAGTGACAACAAGGTTGCAAGTTTTGCTTTTCTTGATGTGACGCTAGCACAAAGAAGGCTTTAAAACACTCTTCAGACCATTATTCACTATATATGGACATAACTACGCCTGCATAAACTCTTTGTACTGAGCCATATTGTTGAAAACAAAATGTTTTGAAAGTTCTGAGCATGGACAGTGAAGTTAGGATTATGCTGCAACATGTGTGACAATGGGGCATTTCAAGCCAACAGGCAGGCAGGTTCAGCAAGTTAATGTTTGGTCCACTCTAGACAGCCATTTTTAGAGTATCCCAGAAAGAGTACTGTCAGTCTGTCCTCTTATTGATTGAATTTATGTTATACATTAAGGTCTGGTCCCACCATTTTATACCTGTGTAATTCCAGTGTATTAGCCTGTCCCATTCTGTGGAGTGAGGCTCTCCCAAGGGCAGATGATCTCTTTGGTTCCCACTCTTTCCCGAGAGACAGCTCTGTTCTCCTCATCCTCATCCTCAGACTCAATGGGGTAGATGCGGCACTCCGGAGGAATATCCACTTTGATCTGAAAAAAGCTGAGAAATGTTTCAGAAAAAGACGAGGTCATCAGGGGCTGATCTGATATTATTTGTCACGTTAGCAACATAAACTTTTACTTTGTGTACCTTAGTAGCCAAACTAGATACAAAGTCTGCATACACAGCCATGACTAAAACTGTATGTAATATAACAATATTTACATGTGCTGTGTCAGTTAAATAAATAACTGAATATGAGATGACAGTTTTGACTTCCAGCTTTTATGCAAAGATGTTCCCATCATATTGGTTTTGTAGGAACTGTAGCTCCAATATTGCATATGTATGAATTTTTGCAATAAAAACAAAAATAAATAATTGTAAATAATTTTCCTTTCTTGCAATTAACAAATAGTCCTAGTGTCCAAGTTACAGATAACAGCCTCTTCCTCAGGCCTGTTCTACAACTGTTTCACTTCTTGTTTCAGCGCTTCCACCTAAATTTAAAGTAAAATAAGACTCCTGGATTGGAGCGAAAATGATGGAAAACATATGACTTTCAAAGTAAAAGTCCTGCATGACTGTCACGTACTTGCCAATCCGTCTGGGCGGAGCCTGACTAGGTTCATCTGGGCTGATTGGCTGTATGCGGCTGCTTGTCCCGGCAGCTGGATTACATTTAGGTGACAAGCTGGCAAACATAGAGGAGGGAGTGCAGCCACGCTTGAGTAGACGACGCAGGGATAGAGCCATGCGAGACTTGGACACGTTCCCTCCTGCAGATGCTCGGGCCTCAGGGTTCCCTTCACTTTCCCCCTCACTGGCTTCCGCTCGCCGCTCAGAGGCAGAGGTGCTGTCTAAGGCCACGCTGATGGGGGACGGACAGGCTGGGGTGTGGGCCAAAAAGGGAAGAGAGGGCGAGGCGTTGGCGGAGGGGGGGTCAGTCATGCCAGAATAGACAGCGAGGTGGGGCACAGGAGTGGTAAAGCGGCACAGCTGTGAGGTCAAAGGGCAAGAGACACAAGTCAGAGGGCATCCAGACAGATAAATACGTGTCTGTGTTTGGAATTTTTTTAGCAGATGGTTCCCTGAATACATGACTATTCTGTTTACAGACCTAACAAGAGACATAACACGCAAAAGGTTTCATAACATCAACTTCATTATAACAATATAGAGCCCTCTCCCTTTCTGTAACCACAGGAAATTAATATTTAGCCTCCAAGACAATCTCACTGTCCGCTCAAAGTAAAGAAAGGTCTGACCAGCATTCAACTTTGCTGATTCATGATATTAAAGCTCACATTAGAGCACCACACTTTCATCTCAGAGAGCACAGCACTTTAAAAAACATAACATCTGTAACTGAGTAGGGAAAATGGGCTTTGATAGCGTATCCTGATTTTCCAGCTGTTTTTTGTCCTCAGGCTGACATACCCCTGGGACAAATGGCTCAGTGCCTATGATGTCATAACAGTGAGTCCTGCTCCAGATGGAAAAACAATAACAACTTTTTTGTTTTAAGTGATGATGATAACAGTCATCACTTTTATCATCAACCCATGATATCAGTGTTGGTCTCAAAACCCCACAGTGCTGCGATGATTACCCGAGATCTTCATAATGTGTTATCCCATTTGCCTATGATGCCGTTTCTTGTCTGTCGACTTCAAAGTATTTTAAAATATGTTCTCCCCACTCTGCACAATTGTTTGCAGGTGCCTTGCCTGAGGCACATAAATCTGCTTTTGCAATACTGATAAAAATTTTCCAGAATATTCTTACGAGCTATCACAGGGTCGGCAGTAGCCCAGGAGATTTTTGATTCTAGCTCTCACTGTTGCTTGTTGCCTGCAGCATTTTAATTTTACTTTAAATGGATATCCAACCTAAGCATCACAGGCATTGTGAATGGAGGCACGTTTCTGTTTTATTAGCTAAATCCAGAATTTGTTTTTCTTGCCAAATAAATTTGTAGTACACTCCTTTTAACTTGTTTTGCCCTTAGCTTCAGTTTCCTATTGTTTAACTCTGCTTTTTAGCAAAGGGAAATGTAAGCTATAAAAATATAACGGCAATGCTCATCAGTTTTGATAGGTGGAGAACCATACCTCACTCTATGGTGGAAAAATGCTGTTTTAATAGGTTAATATGCATTTTAATATCATCTCAATGATCAAGCTGTAGAAACAAGCGTATGTTTACAACAAGTGCAAATGGTTAAGTAAATTTGCAAACTTATGTTGGTCTTAACTTTGCACTTTCGCATCACAAAAAAGCAGGTTTTGAAAGAAAGAAACAATGGAAGGAAGGAAGGAAGGAAGGAAGGAAGGAAGGAAGGAAGGAAGGAAGGAAGGAAGGAAGGAAGGAAGGAAGGAATTGGAATGCATTGCGCTACAATCAAATTAAATGGAAAAATGAAAACGGTGAATAAATGACGGCTCAAGTCCAAACACATAAGTATGAGGTGGTTTTATGAATGTTTTATTACCTTATGACTGATAACAAAGACAACTCAAAACATACTAAACAACAGTGAATGCACAGAGATGGACAGCACAGTAAATGTATCATGACAAACAAAAAAGCAGACAACACTTACAGCTTACATGGACGTAAATGTCAGCGATGACAATAGATGGCTATTTGTCTTCTTCTTGTAGTAATTTATTAACATGAGTTGCAAAAAAAGGTTGGTTCAGATTTTGAAACATGCATTTCCAAAGACGTCAAACGTGTGACTCACACAGAAATATAAAGTATGTTTACATAGAGCCTGATCGATATACGATTTTTAAGACCGATATGTGTTGATTTGAAAATCGAATATTTTGACAAATATCCTAAAATCTACCTATGCAGCATCAATGCACAAACATGATTAAAGTTGTTATGAGGCACAACAACTTCAATTCTTTAAATTTTAAAAATGTTATTTATCAGTCATGACCAATATGGATACCAATAGATCAGCAAACAGCTAATTTCAGCAGATATATCAGCACGCTGATAAATTAGCTGAGCTCTTGTCTATGACTCTTCACTGAAAGGTCTAATAGCAACATATTATAGATGTTTTCTAATTTATTATATAACATTATATCCTGTCTAAACATATAATGTATTACATGTATTATATGTAACTATTATAGCAATTAGACAAATAAAATTAGTCATTTTTAACTGAGGTGCGACGAGGAGGCGCCTCTTTGCCCTGTTGGCTGAGTTTGCTCATGACCTGTGTGATGTCAACAGGGGCACTGGCGGCCATCTTGGCCTTTTGCTCCTGCTCCTGTTGCCGGATGATGATGGGACTGAGACTGGGCCGTCTGTTTCTTGCATTTTGCTCCAACTGGGAGTCACTGGGATGATGTATGGGGAGGGGAAAAGAAACAGGAACAAGGTAAGAGTTGAAAGTTGAAAATTCAGGATTGTCTTTAAGAGTACGGAGAAGAGAAGAGAAAATTTGAGGTTTATGTTATATATTTGTTAGGGTTGTTTAGACTGCAACATTCCTCTTTGCTGTGACTAAGACGTATTTTCTGTTAGTCAAACTAAAAGCTTCAAATAAATCTTCCAACAATGTCTGAGAAAAGCTCCACAAATTCAATGCAAAAAGTGCCTCTTACCTGAACTTGTGTTCCTCGGGACATACGGCCTTCTTCGTTGTTTCCTTAAACACTGGAGATTTTAGGTATCGGCCATATGAGTCCTACAAAATGCAAAATGCTATCAGTTGGTCCAGTGAGTTGGTCTCTTACAGGTACAGATACAACCCCACCGTTCCCTTGTGATTTAACCATAGACATCCAGGTCTGAAAAGTGAAGCCAATGCAGAAGTGCCTTAAACTTCCTTTCTTTACAGTGGCCAGCAGGGGGCACCTCATCTGGTCACAAAGTTCACATTGTATAAAGGTCAATGAGAACATTATCCTGCTACTTAATCATTTATGACACCAGTTAACATTTTTTTGTGAGTTTATAGTCTCAATAAAAGTCTAATCTGATACTTTGTGATGTTTAATTTCAAATCATGCTCCCATTTAGAGCAAATTACACACGTTGCTATAGCATGGGCATGCATAGCGCCATCAGCTCCACAGTCAGCTCAAACCAAAATCCAAAAAGGTGTTTTAATTTATGCAGTCTCTGCACTGATCACACCTACTGACATGTTTACTGACCTTCTTCATGAGCATGTAGATGTGAGTCTGGGCTGCATCCAGGACGTATCTGTGTGGGTGTTTCAGACCTTTCACTGTGATTTCCATCGTCTTTCCATCGATGTTGATCCATCGTGGAGCACCGCGTGCCAGGAAAGTCCTGAGATCAATGAAAGTGGGAGGAATGAAGAGGAAATGCTTTGACACTTACATGGAAAAACCTCAAAAGCCAGATAAAAACTTCTTCTTCAGTAAAGATGTGAGAAAAAATATCCACTGCACTGTTTTCATCATTTAATCATCAGTTAAAGTAACACTATACTTGCAGGTAAAGTTCACTACATGCAAAGTTTAGATTTAAACTGTAATTAATCTAAGGCGTATTATTTCTGGATGATGGCAACCAAAATTTGTATTAATTCTCAGTTTTATTTTAAGTTTTAATCTTTAATCTCGACTAATTAAAAATAATTGAGTGAATTTAATGTTAAAAATAAAAATTAAAACATGTATTTGTGTCACTATTAAACTACGATAATAAATATAACAATTAAAGAGTCATAAATCACTGTCAGTAAACATAGTTGGCGATTTTTAAATCAAATAATACTTTCTTCTCCACTGTCTTCAATATTTACCAGAAGACTAATATATTCTTCAAGAAGTTCTTACTTGTAGATCTGCTCTGCTTTCTCTTTCATTGTCGCAGCAGTGCCCCACTTCAGATCCTCACAACCTTCCCAGAATGCCAAGTTCTCACCTGAGTAGGTTTAGAGAAAATAACCAGATATAAACTCAGATGATTCCTAACCCCTTCCACTGAAGGAAAGCTTAACATCAGGACCAGCAGTGACTTTAAATTGCACCAGACTATCATACCGCTGAACTCTTTCTTTAGGAACAGTCTGAAGTCATCTCGTCCTCGAGGGTCTGAAAGGAGCTCTCCAAAGCTGAACGTCCACCTCTCCACACGCATTTTAGTGGGTATTTCCACACTGTGCCACACAGATAACAAAAACAAGATATTCTTAATTATTGTCCAAAATCAGTGACTTCTATAAGTATAATCATCTTACGCACTTGGGCATGTTCAAAGCCCAGTATGTGACGTCATCAGTGAGCCAGGGGTTGCTGGGAAGACACTTGGACAGAAAAGGGTCGTGGCCTTTATAAGTGGCGCAGTATTTCACCAACCTGCAGTGGAGGGAAAAACACGTCACCATCGACCACACTGAAGGAAAATAACGTCTTTAACCATTAATGATGCAGCCACACAGAAACAGTAAAGCAAGTGCAGCCAAGCCTACAGGAGGCATAACTCACATTATCTAATCCCTCATCAGTCAGAGAACAGCAAATACACTTCACAACACATGTTTGTCTACTGTGAAGACTCTCATTTTCTTTTTATTTGCTGGAAAGACACGTGGCCCTCCACAACGGTCCCACTTTCTCATCAGCTTTAACCTGCCTGACCTTTACAGATCACTCAGTGGGTTATGCTGAAACTAATGTGCGTGTGTTACTTTAAGGCATACAGCTAATGGAGCAGCCAGGGTATAGGAGGGGTACTGGTTTGCTACAGATAGTAGCGAGCTTCTTATATGAGGGACTGTCTTACGCGCCAATGGACACTGATGATTTCACTCTGGGACGCATGATGGACTGCTGGGTGAAAATCATCTACAGGGAGAGAAATGACAGCCAGAATAACACAGAGCTGCCACTATACGTGATCAATAAAACATCCAACAAGTGAGTAGAAAAAAACTTACGATCCTCTCGTAGTCATCGGGTGTTTTTGCCTGAGGAAAAATGTATTAAAAGTATGAGTACAGATAATAAGCCATATACTTTATGACTTCACAGTTAGGACACTGTATGTATTTCTGCACAGAAAAAAGCACTGTTTTATACATCACTTCTTTATCATTGTTGGACTCATGATGAACACTTGTGAACACTAACCTTCAACATCATTTCACAACCTGAGCTGAGATTCAGGTACTTTTTTTTGTTAGCAAGTATTATAGCAAGTGCATTCATGAGGTGATGTGAGTGTGTGCAGATGTGTTCACAACCAGCTTAAA